TCCTCCCCCAATTTCAAACCTCCCGTCTCTTCTCGATCTAACGTCTGATTCCGGCTTAATCCAATGATCCGGTGAGCCCTCCCCTCCCCTCAGAGACTGATTTCCCCTCCCTTCCCTTCTATTTGACCTTCCATTTTCTTCCGCCACTATCACAGGCATAAAGATAGGGCGTAATTCAGGGCTCAACCAAACCCTATAACTCAAGTAGCCATCTTCCACCACAGTGGAGACAGGGATTCTGCCCCCTTTCCTCACCACAATCCTCACTCGCGAGAGATCGTGTAAACTGCAAGTGACATCAATAAAACCCCCACAGATTTCCCCTATCTTCTTGAATAGGTCAAGACACCAAAGATGCACCGGGAGACCCACCATGTTGACCACCAATGTTTCGCCAGTGAAGCGAGGGTCAAGACACCCATCATGCTCCACCCATCTGTCTAGATTTAAGAAGTTCCCATCGAACCACTTGTTTCCTCTGACAAGAATTTCTGAAGTTTGAGACTTGTCAACAAAACGAAAGAGATATTGAGTGTCCACCAGTTGCGATATTTTCAGCCCGTCCTTGACGTTCCATGCCTCTGCTGCCCAGTTCCTAGCAGCCTCTGGAGAACCAACCCATTTGGAGAAAGACCCAATGAGACTAGATTCCAAGAAACCCTTGCGCCTGAGAGTGTGCTCCTCGGACAGCGAGAAGTGCGGCTCCTGCCCTACGTCGAGCTTTCGATGGCATCTTCCCCCAAGTTCTAGGGCTGGCCAAGAGACAGCTTTGATAAAAGACATGTATTCCAGTTTTCTAAATTCTAGAGAGAAGAAAGAGCTTCTCTCTGTACAATCCATCATATTCTAAATGCGTCTGTCCCGAAAAAGCTGGCCGGAAAAAGTCTCAATAGTTGGAATAACAGTAATCACAGTGGGTGAAAAACAGTATATAGGAAGGGAGGAAGGTTTTCTCGTACTGAACAAAGGAATCAATCGCCAGAATCTGGGGTTTAATGGCCGGAAAAAGAAAAAGTCGTCGGAATTTGGTGAAACTGACACGGAAAGGCTCGGAAAAGCCTCGAGAAGAGGCTGTCTCAAGAAAAAAATTTGAAAAATCGCCGGAAAAAGACACACGCGCCGGCGCGTGGCTGAGATGTCGCCGGAAAAACAGGCGAGTTGGCGGCGCGTGAGGGCTCGGTTGCCGGAGAACTTTACTGGGGTTTGGACGCGGGAAGCTTCGCTCTTGATGGGTGTGGTGGAATCTTAGGAAGAAGAAGAGAGGGAAGAGTTTCGGCCATAGAATGCTTTATTGCACTGTTGCTTTCTAGAGCTTCTTTTTCTCTCCCCTTAAGCTACTATTAGCATCGATCTCTTCTAAGAAGCTCAGCTGCTATGGCCTCCTTATTCATCATCCCTGGTGTATTGAAGCATGTGACATTCAGCATGTTTAGAATTACACAGACAACAAAATGTTTAAAAAAGTATACAGCAAAAATGGGGTAGTTATAGGAGCCCTCTTATATCCTTGTTGCCCACTGATGGATCCAATGTGAAGCTCATTCCTGAATTTGGAAACCAACCAACTGCACATGCAGGATTCTTTGGGAGGGCCAGCTCTCTATGTGGGAGAAACGGTCCCTTAGGCCCACCACAAAGAGGTTTAATGCGTATGTTCCACAAGTTTTTTTCTGATGTTTCAGACAGACGGTTATGGAATTCTGATGTGTCTGACTGCCCATATCCACTAATTCTATCTTTTTGGCAGTTGAATTAGACCTAGTACTGGATTACTTATGAGTACACCTGCACGAATCACATAGATAACTTATGTCCTTGGGGTTTGACATAACCACTAACCAGCTCTAATTTATGGTTGATGTATCATCTTCTTCCTAATCCTTTTGTATGCTTGTTTTCTTTATTTTTAGAGGCAAGAAAGGGGTGGGTGCGGGAGTTCTGGAAGTAACAGAAACTTCTGATTCTTATGAGATCAGATCAGATAGATGAACATGTTAAATAGAATTTCAGGCTTCTTCATATCTAAGTCAAAGATAAGGATTTAACGTAGCATTTTAAGCATAACTGTAAAAGATGAGGAAGTGAATATTCTCTGGAAAGGAAACTTGAAAAGACATTCCGCTATAGATGAAAGAAATTGAATACATTTTTATCATAGCCGTAGGTCATTTTCCTTTCCGTCCATCCCCCCCCCCCCCTTTTTTTTTT